TATGACAAGGATAATAAGATAGAATCCTCTAGACACGAGATAGCCTGACAGTGTTTGAAGATCTGAGGAGACGAGGGAACGTTAATGTTTGCTCGTAGGGCTTATCATCCAATAGTTTGGATAGAGAATCTAATCAACTTCTACTGTAGGATACTATATCGGTCGATCACATCAATTATCATTAATGTATCGTACCTTTTAACATTTGTCTATATACTATAACTATACAATAGAAAAGTACCTACCTTATATTTGACAGCGCAAGAGTCGACAGACCGCATTTTGGCTTGACTGCAACAGGAAACAGAGGCGAGCGTCATAGTTAAATGTTCATATATCCGACGTAGCAGAGCCGTGTTCACATGATGATACTTTGGAATCATTGGAATCACCCGAGAGATACCGAACTCTTCTTCCATAGTTTCACTTGTAACCACTTAATCTGAACAAATGTGTTGATCGCCACGCCGCATCCTCTAAGGTCTCATATGTGCCTCATGGTTCATGCTACACATGGCAAACATATGAAGTGATGCCCCCCGGTACATCCTAATGGCAGTGCCTAGGTGCCTAGGTGCCTAGGCAACCAGCCGGGCTGTGTGGCTTCTCGTGATGGATGATCGGGTGAGTGCGGACTTTAGTAGTGGATAGGCTCCGACAAGTTCCTGAATATCAACTCGTGTCTAGCTCTTGTGTTTCCATTAAACCGACCATCATAGCGTAGCGAATGGCTTGTCTTGGTCACCAATAATGGCGGAAACGGCAGAAAATGGCCAATAGCTTCGGCTATTTTACGGCGCGACTCGATTACTGGTGGGCGAGCCGACGTGATATACGTGATATACACGCCCCTTGAGAGAAGCTAGAAAAGCTAGAAAAGCTAGGAGGTATTTCGTAGTATTTCGTAGGCATCTAATTTGTTATCTTCGGTCAAATCACGGGAAGAGCTTTCCCACGAGTGGCATTGCGGTATCGCGCCGTCGCGGTCGACACGACACGACGCGAAAGCGTTGCGACTTGTCAAGTCATATGGGAATCTGAAAATAGGTGAAGATCTACGGCCCTCTTAAAGCAAACTTCTAGGCTCCCCATGGCTCCCCCATATCAGACTTACTATTACCCCTCCTACCCATCCTACCCATCCTAAACCCTTTGCGGGTGACTTCGGTCGCGGTGATCTTGCCACCGTCTTGCCTAGACTTATCGGGAAACCCGGAAAATCCGGGGAGGGCAAGGTTTAATTGGTAATCTTTTTTGACTAGTCCCTCGGAGTCTAGGGAGCGATAAAATGATAGGAACTCCAAGCTCTTCCATAATCCATAATGGGTACCGGCAGCTGCAATACGAGGCGGTCAGCGAGGACCCGAAGAGTCCAAGCTTTCTTCTAGAACATCGTTGCAGCAACTCATTGGTTCTGCTGTTGGTTCTGTTTGTAGTTTGTGTCGTTGTTACCTGGCTTCTGGTAGGGAAAATCTTTACTGAAGGTCGAAGCGGTAACACGCATCCAATCCACCTTAGCTACAGTAGCTACCCTACCTGTCCTAGCTCTTGTGTATGTATGTGTATGTGTATGTGTATGTGTACGTGTGCGTGTTTGAGGTTGTCTACGTATTTGCGCATGTTGGCTGCCTATCGAGGCGCTGTTCCGACTATACACTTACCGTTGATGGGAAGTTGATAGAACCATGGTTGTAGTATGTACAATTGCGTACGACAACCACGATGAGTACCGGACTTCACGATGGAAAAGGGAAGCTCAACAATAAGAACTTGATCGCAAATGATAGCTGACAAGATCGTAATCCGAGTGCGCAATTTACTTTGTAACCACCTATCTGCGCAACCAAAACCCGAAAATACTACTTGAAGGATTAGAGTAAGCAATCGTGAGATGAGATTTGATTCCAGATGCTACGGATATAAAAATTGTGTGTTACATACCTAGGTACGAGAGGGCGCACACAACACGATATACGATATACATTATACATTATACGTAGTATATACATAGCATAGCACTCATACTTACGCACACACATATACATACATACACACACATTTGTATTTACCAATAATTCTATAGGCGGCATCAAAATGCGGAGTGGTGGTTACTATGGTTATATGGGTAAGTAAAACCCCTGCCATAAGTTACGCGCTAAAAGGTGGCCTGTGTTGCTATTTCTTTACTTATTAAAATTTAACGCATATTTATACGTATACAATAACAAATTTGGAAAACTTACCACTTTTGGCATTTATAAGTTAAAATACCATATTTTAGACTTTTCAATGATTATTTTGGTATTAATTTTATTTTTAAAAGTGTGTAGAATGTTGGTGCATCGATTATTTTCATTGTTTTTTTGCCAAATGTATCTTTCGAATATCCTTGACAAACTAATACTGATTTAGTATGGTGGTTTGTTTAGCGTATTCTGCGGTACCTGACAGGGTAGTTTTACTTTTGCCTGCAACCATAGTACGTCTGAGTCATCAGAGAAATCGTAAACGGTCCGCGTCTCGATTACGGGATCTTGATTTGGGATTTGGGATTTCTTACGCACATATTTTTAGGCACAAAATCAAACGCCGAGGCACATCGAAGCACATCAAAGGCACATCATCTAGCGGGCATCTAGCAGGTTGGTCGCAAAATCCCACCTATACTATTCGTCGTTTGGGTAGGCGGTCAGAAAGAATGCCGGTATTGGCCAGCACAACGAAATTGTTGCGGTCAGCCAACTCACCTTTTCCTTTCTCGTTGGACAACTAACCGTTAAAGCCAGCTCACTATTGCTCAGCCGCCGGGAGCTGCTGACGGCCACCGTGGCGTAGGGGAAACCAGTTGCGAAAGATGGCCTCACCTATATGACTACCCTGTCGTCATAGAGTCATAGATGTTGTCGCCGGTATGTACACTACCTACCTAACCTATGAACCAGAGACAAAAGGAGGACGGACATGGGAAACAATTACCATTCAGCCATCCTTGCAGCAATCAAATGAAATCAATTTTGGCTCGGGTCCCAAGTCCCTTGCTGCTTTTTTCCCCCAATAAGTGGCGCTCGGACGGCGCAATAGCGGAAAAGAAGAAAAGAAATAAAGGGGATAAATGTTGGCTATTATTGAATAGCTTGGGGGTAAGTAAATGAAGCAATGCAAGCCAACGGGACGGACGTGGGAATATCCCCCATTTAACTCGTGCCCGAGGTGAATGGCTGCCCGAAGGCCAACCAAAGAGATGTTAATAGTAACGCCTCCTTCGTCACAGAAATTAGCGTGTCATAGCAATGATAATAATAATAATAGAGCTGTACGTTAGGTATGTGACGGATCCTTCGAAAAAGGTCCCAAACAGAAGCAAACGGTGGTGGCTCGGCGTATACCAACCTAGGTACTATTGTAGGATTCCAATTCCAACGTGTAATTATTAACCCCCGTAGCCGTCCAAGAATAGTGTAAACCTGCGACTTTCGGCATCTTGTGCGCCACTACCACGTTGCTCTCTAGTCGGAAGCAAAGGAATAATTCATACATCCTGCTGTATTAGGGTGATTAATATCATCATTAGTGTTATTGGAGTTGTTAAACGTATGTAGTAAATTACCCCTACTTTCTAGTAATCAACTAGAGATGCCATCTTGCTACGTACGTTGTATTAGCTGTGTGTATTAGCTGTATTAACCTGCCGGCTATCTACATCTCTCAACGCCATCCCCATCTTTTCCCATGCTTTTTCCAGAAGCGCAAGCGGGCAGGGCGGGTTACGAACTTACTGTAACCCTGGAACTCCGGTAATAGGTATGTAGGGCCTTGTAACCCAGGACACGGGCAAGACAGACAAAAACGGACAAAAGACAGGGCTAATTACTAACCCAAACTAGGATGCTCGCTGCGCTGGGAAGCGGGAGATAGACCCGGCCGCGGCAGTCGGATAAGAAAATCGTGGTGGACCTCATTGAACCCTGATCGTCATTCTACTTTGCAGTACGCGGTAAGATATTCCACGGATCCATGGACCTTGTTTGATGGGGCCCTGCATCGCAAATCCCGCGGCCTGGCATTTTTATTTTATTTCTTCCTTTCCAGCGTGTGGAGACAGAAAGTCTGCAAGCGAAGCATCGGAGAAGAAAGGCGAAGCCCAACAGTATGCTGCCAGCAATGTTGTACATACAGACCGATATGTAGGATATGTAGGTTAGGTATATGTAGGTCTTTGATTTAGTACGTCCGTAGCTGCGTAACTGCGTAACTAAACATTAAACTAAAATACGCCCAAAACGTTAGCTTTCTTTTATTTTGGCGGTGTCAGTTCCGTTTACTTTTTGGTTATACGTGATTGGTAGGGCACAGCTCGGCGAGTGAGATACCCGTCTAGACGGTGCACGACCATTGGGAAATTGGGAATCAGATGGGGGGTTTCAAAGCTGACTCCTGTTAAGGCGGTCTAGGCTGACTTGGTGGTTTAACACCTATTCCCTGCGTCCCGGGCCACACTTAACGCTCTCACCCCCCCCCCCCCCCCCTTTCACGCATCCATGACAGGCGGTCAGCCAGGATTAGTTGCAACGTGGGGTGGAGCGAGGGACGGGGAAAACTGGAAAATAGGCATTGTATTATTGTAACGGTCAAGAAAGCCTGTTGCCTCCGTGCGGCGATGATTCATGTCCACCACCACACCCTCTGGTAGTATATATATGTTCTCATGGCCATCCCATGCGCTCACGTCCCATGCCCCCATTTCCCTTACTAGATACCCCAGATTATTTATTAGTAGCCATAGAGCAGTAATACATAATATCTCATCATCATCTACAGCTCTCCACAAGCTTTCCACTATAGCTACGAGATATCATCCAACTTGTCGCATCCTCTGACTTACACGCGAAATCGACCCGCAACAGCTTTGGGACGAAGACCCGCACTCACGAAGATCTCGACTCTAGATTTTTTTGAAGGAAAAAGGAAGATCTTTTTTTACTACGAAACCCACATTCGAAATGTATAGCCCATACGGCTCTTACAGCTCCATGAGTGAGGTCACTCAACCGATGGAGATCCCTACTACCAGCTACCTCTCTCATAACGGCGCCTACAGCGCTAGCTGCGCGTTCCCCTCGTGGCCGCGACGCTCATCTCTTACCGACTCCGCACACGAGCAGCGAGCAACTTCTTACCTCTCCGATGATGACCTATTCCCATGCGACTTGGAGGACGACGCGCACAGCATCTCCAGCTCGGGTAGCACGACACCTACTTCTCCCGTCGTCGCTAACGAGGTCGACCTACTGCAGATGCAGCGCGAACAGATGGCTATGCAACGCGAAGCCATCAAGTTCCTTCTCAACGAGAAGGAGAGGAGGAAGCAGCAACTTAAGCGCCAACGTCGCAGCAGTGGCGGCAGCTCCAAGAAGAGCAGTCCCAAGTCTGCCAAGTCGGCACATCTTGACGCCATCGCCGAGACTGGCGAGTGAGCACCTTTTACTTTCTTGACAATCCAGCGTTTTTAATGGTAAGTCACTACAGCATTCATATAAGTCTACATATTTCACATCCGAATAGTAACTAACTAGTATCATCACAGAGTATGACTTTACAACATTTACGACTATTATGATGATTATACCCCCCAAAGATACCCCCCGATCAAGTCACCAATATACGAGTGACGCAGCGCCACGGATATATGCTCCGTCCCGCGCCACGCGGATAATGGTGATGAAAGTGCTAGTGCACATTACACCATGGCTTGCACAGGAATCATAGTCATTCCAGCGCCGCCGCCGCCACCACCACCACCATCATCACTCTCCCCCCCTTTAATCATTTGGGAAATCGACATCTATCCGCCGCCAGACGCCACTTGGGGTGATTCTGGGAAGACGTATCTCAGCCGTTTTCGGCCTAGAGCATACGCTTTCGCGGCACAATTTTTGAGCAACAAGGAATTTTACAAGTGCGTTGTTGTGTGTGTGTTGCTGTTTGTGGAGGATACCCATCTACCTACCTTACCCACCCGCATTACCCAGAGGCTTTTCCCGAAGCAGGGGTGCGGGTTTTCGGTTACTGGAAATATGTTTTCTTTGTTTTCTAAGATTACCACGATGGCGGTGTGTAGCGGTCTAGCGGAAGGAAGGAGGGGCCGGAAGGAAACTAAAGAAAAATTTCAGATGAAGCTAAGCTAGGGGGAGTTTTGTTACCCGTGTGTTGGAATTGGGATGGCTTGGTGAATGAATGGAACAAGGGGGCCAGTGACGAATTGTGGATGGGAGAGTCAATGCGGATGACCCGGGTTTTCGGGATTTGGACAAAGCAAAGAAATGAAAAAAAAAAAAAAATAATTACAAGTCCCACGAAAAGTCCGGGTCGGGAGCCAATTGGCTATGGGTTGTGGCCGCTTGGCTGGTCGGTGCGCATAAATGTGCTTGTGTTTGGAATAACAAGGAGACAAGGGGGTATGCACAGGTCCTTCAGTGAGGACAGTTGTGATAATTTACTAAACTAAAATCAATTAATTACATAAACTATTAAGCTTTAAAGTCCGTGTCTGAATTAAAAGTGAATTTGTTGAAACATAGTCCCTTTAACCTTAACTACTTCTTAGGTACCTACTAAACTTATCCCAACTACATGTGTGAACTATCATCTATTGTCTCTAAATAGCACCGGCAACATTCCTCACGATTCCGATATTGTTCCGTCTTGGAACATTCACTAATCCGAAGATACACCAGTACATTTCCGTACTATGTAGACGCGAGGGATACTAAATTAGTAACTCTAGCCACCCGGGATCGCGTTTCGGGAATAGCGCGTGAAGCCTACCCATATATTTCCAATAACTTTATCAGACTTAGGGTTTGTCGAAGATCTTTGCAGGCGGGACTGGCGGGATGTACGCTGATCATCTTTTGACGGACATGGGGCATATGTAGAGCTGGCTGGGCATGCCAACAGAGGGGACTGGATCGACTTGCCTGATCAAGTTGTGTGGCTTGCAGGGAGAAGAGGGGAAGAAGATATGGAGATGGAGATGGAAATAGAAATGGAAATGGAAATGGAAATGGAGAAAAGCCCTTGCCCTAACCTACCTATCTACCGTGGCATTTTACACTACGAGCAAAAAGTGGCATACAATATCACATCGTTGTGATTTGTTTGACGGTGGGGCAAAAGGAGCCGTTCGTCCTAAGTTGCGTACATATATCGTGGACGGTTTGCGTTGCGAGTGGGTGTCGGTGAGGACATCCCGTTTGATAGTTACCTCAGAGTGGATGCACAAGTATAGAAATAGGTAGGTAGCTAAGGTAGCTAGTGATGCAGTCAAGAGGGTATGTAATGCCCGCACGTCTCGTTTACAATTTGTAAGGTTATGATGCTGTGATGCTGTTTTGGTCCTTCTTTGAGACGGGAAGGATTTCAGTTGAATGGGCCGGCGTCGGAACTAATAAGGAGGTATTGACGTATTGACGTTGGGAGGATTAAGAGAAATGGACCGGGTGAAGCGGACGTCACCAATCAAGGAGATTTACGGTTCGTTGACCGACTATCGCTTGTCGCCGGTGTCGAATCGTAGGTATTGGTTGGTTCTTGACCGCCGGAGAATTCATGACTGGTGGACTGCTGACGCTTCATGCTTGACGCTTAGTTTTTATTATTTTTTTTTTATAATGTTTAACTCCACACTTCAACTGCTTCCCTTAGGGCATCAAAGCTCCGTAACGGTAGTTGGGCAGGTTGAGGCAGACGATGAAACGAGTCGATCGTGGCAGCTTCGGAAGACTCCCAGTGGCTCAAATATCCGATAAGTGGACGATAGGAACTCAGAAGCTTCAAGAGCTTAGGAGCTGTACCCCACACGTAGCCCGACGACCTCGTCTTGTCTCACTCGGACAAATCTGGTTGACAATCTGATTGTTCAACGGCGTGGCGCCCATTATCTCACGCTAATGATGATAACTCTATCACGACGTATCGAATCGTAGCCTATCACACGCCAGAGCTTGGCGTTCACCAGATCAGCATAAGGTCACCGGACCCAGCCTCTAAGATTAGCGACTGGGTTAGGTGATGAGGCGGGGTGAATATAGATAGATAGATAGAGTGATCTCAGCTCTAAGAGGTTTATCTCACCGTAGGTAATCGAACGTGTTCACAAAGTGATAAAGTGATAAAGTGACTACCCAAACTTTGAGACAGAAATCGTGACGAAATCCCGACCTTCCCCCCGCACGAGGTATTTTAAACAAGAGCTAGATTGCTAAGGCATTACTGTTTTTGTAAAGAGGTCAAAGCTATCACCTTCGCCAAGCTTGTGGGCTTAAGACAAGGGCAGGGTTGAACCATTCGCATAGTTTTGCTGCTTGATTCTTCCAGAAAATTTGCTCTTGATCACGTATGTAATCACGTATGTAGACCCGCTGCTAGATAATCCACAGTTCAACCAGATGTAGAACCCGTCCGGACCGTCCCTGTTGAGTAGATGGATCGGGACGTAGCCGAAGCAAGATTCCCGGCTGCCCGTCTACCCGTCTAGTCTTTTGCTCGTATGTACTAGGACCATTAGGTTATCCTTTCTGACAAGAGCCTAACAACCTCTAATTCTTAACTTCAACTAGCCACCAACGAAAATGCCTGGTGTTGTTCTATATATATAATATAAATAGGTAGAGTGTTGTTGTTGCTGGTTGGCTGCTAGGATCAGGGGGATACGTAGACTCGGGAAAGGTATACTATACTCATCACAGCTCTAAGAGACCCGAGCCAAGTAATTTGGCAGCCTTGTAATAGCTAGCGTAGCATCTGTCATTTCGCTTTATATCGTTTGGTTGCGTTGTTGGCATGTCGATTGTGGAGGGTAGATGGTATCGTAACTACAATGGACTACAATGGGAGAAGAGATTTGGAGAGAGGAGGAAAGGGGGGGGGAAGATTTCGATAAGTATACTGGGTTGTACATACCATATCCCCCTGGATTGCATCGTATCTTGGGTATGACAATATGCAAGGGACTGGCGGCGAGCAAGAATGCGTAATCGGCTAGCTTTCTAAGAGTGAGGCTACTGCTGCTCGATAGTAAAAGTCACCAGTCGCATGTCGCAAGTTGTATACAAGTCGCAAGATTAATGCTGGCCTCAATGCTGGCCGCAACAACAGCGACCTTGCGGGGTTTACATCAAAATGTTCCTAATGCGCGACAACCTGCAACTCCCCGAACCGATCCTGGGCATTGGGTTGTACGGGGGGTCATTGAATACGATCTCCTTACTAACTGTGAGGCATTTCACATATAGTATCTACGCATTCGTGCGAGTCTGTTAGAAGTAGTACAATAACCCCAAGTCTGCCGCCTCGTTGGCGAGTTGTCGGTTGTGATGACTACCTACCTACGCATAAGAGTACCTAACCTAACCTAACTTAACCTAACCTAACGCATAAGTGTATGCATTTATATTTAAATTGATGAAGAAGCTGCATAAGACAGCTTCTGGAATTCCGGTTGTGGGGACAGACGGATGACGTCGTTCCTATCAGATATTAATGCTGTCGTTACGATGTGATAGCCTGAAAGCTGGAGGCTTATTAAGGCATGAGTTTTTATCTTATGGCATAAATTATCCGCGCAGGTATCATCCGAGTCGCATAGCTACCTCATACGTCGTAAAGAAAAGAAGAAAAAAAAACTTGCTTCAACCTGCTCAGTACCTGTTCACTTACCAAAGGTACGGGTGTAGAATGCGTGTCTAGCATAACGAGATACCATGCATATTTGGATCTTACCATGTTTCCTAATCGGGCACCTTCTCTGTCTGCTACCAGCCTCGACTTTCCCCATCTTTCTATACCACAGCGCTTCTTAAAGAACACCTCTCTCGTACTCATTCCTATTTTAACAACAGAGGCATCTCGCCAGTGAGCAACGACAGCAGCGACGGCACGGCGTCAGACGCCGTGTTCCTTGCTATTCGGTCCAAGGTTGTAAAGTGTCAAGGTTGAGTGCGCGGGACAAAGTGAGTACTACGCGTGAGTAACGTGGGTGGGATGCTGGCACCCATCGGTGAGGAAACGAGAGCCACGACGTCCATGTGCGCATAGGATGATCTTGCGTAGTGGGGTAAATTATGAGTTCATGGTCATGTAGTCATGTATGCGATAGGTCTACATCCTGTCAGGGTCTCACGGGTAATCCTTGAAAAAAAGGTCCACTGGGTATTGTTCGATGGAGAAGAGAAGGCGTAGAATGTAGACTGTAGAGTGTGGATAGAAGGAGAGGGAGGAATAATATGTTAGTTAAATAAAAACGAAAGCATTGGATGTTAAAGTATATCGTAATTACCTATATAAAATAGTTATCATGATGTTAATAAGTATAGGTAACTAGGTACACTAGGTTAGTTAACTAGTAACTATAAATATAGTACTTAAGGAGGTTAGGTTAGCTAAGAAGTACCTATATTTTTACACCATTCTTCTT